TGAGGCTATGGAGAAAGACTATCGATCTGCTACAAAGAGGTTCTGGCAAACTGTCCGGCGCCTCAGGAGGGGAAGGCAGCAACTCGCTCACACTGTTTACAGTGGGGATGGGGAGCTGCTGATGTCAACTGGGGCTATAGTCAGACGGTGGAAGGAATACTTTGAGGAGCTCCTCAATCCCACCAATGCGCATTCCGAGGAGGAACCAGAGCTGGGGGACCTGGGGATGGACTGTCCAATCTCGGGGGCAGAAGTCGCTGAGGTAGTCAAACAACTACACAGCGGCGGAGCCCCGGGGACGGATGAGGTTCGTCCTGGGTATCTCAAGGCTATGGATGTTGTAGGGCTGTCATGGTTGACACATCTCTGCAACATTGCATGGTCATTGGGGGCAGTTCCTAGGGAGTGGCAGACCGGGGTGGTGGTCCCCATCTTTAAGAAGGGTGACCTGAGGTTGTGTTCCAAATATAGGGGGATCATACTCCTCAGCCTCCCTGGAAAGGTCTACTCCAAGGTACTGGAGAGGAGGGTCTGATCGATAGTTGAATCTCAGATTGAGGAGGAGCAATGTGGTTTTCGTCCTGGCCTTGGAACTGTGGACCAGCTCTATACCCTTGCAAGGGTGATGGAGGGGGCATGGGAGTTTGCCCAACCAATCCACATGTGTTTTGTGGATTTGGAGAAGGCTTATGACTGTGTCCCCAGGGGCACCCTGTGGGATACGCTCCAGGAGAATGGGGTGGTGTTTCGGGCATGTCCTGCTGGTAGGAGGCCCCCAGGTTGACCCAGGACACGTTGGAGAGGTTACGACTCCAATCAGGTCCGGGAACGCCTTGGGGTCCTGCCGGAGGAGCTGGTGGAGAAGGCCGGGGAGAGGACAGTCTGGAGCTCCCTAGTTGGGATGCTGCCCCCGCGACCCGGACCCGGATAAGCAGAGGAAGACGATGACGTCTATCTTGGACTGGATACATGACGCTACTCTCCCTGTTGTCCTGGCGGGGAATTGCTTTGCAACACTCCTCAGGAGATGAAGACGTCCAAGAGCAAATTGTCTCCGTCCGTGCGTGCATGTCTCTCCGTCATGGAGCAAATGGAGAAGTATAAATTAGGCCTTAGGGTTAGGGTTGCGGCCTTGTCACCACATGTGAAAAAATTTAAATGGGTAAAACATTAAACCCCACAAAGTTTAGAAAGAAATGGCAATACTAGTGACGTGAATTTCACGAACGAATCAAATCTTTTGAACGGCTCTTTGAAGTGAATAATGACAGCTGAGTCATTATAGAGAACTGTTAATTTTGTCTTCTAGAACCCCCCCCCCCCCCCCCAGACAATAGCATAACCCTTCCCCCCACCCCACCCTACACTGACCGGACACATCGCTCAACGAAAGAAAAAAAAACATGAAGATCACTCAACTTCGTTCAAAAGAGCCAGTCTTTTGAACGGCTATTGAATGAACCGCTCTGTTTAAAGAGTCATAAGTCCCATCACTAGACAATGTTTATGTTAAATTTGCAAAATAGAAACTTCAACATGTTGGAGGAGGTATATAGAGTGAAGCAATCCCTTTTTTTTATCTTCTTTAGAATCGTTACTCAGACCTGACTCTTCTCAGTCTTCTGTCCTGGATCACTGTTCACAAAAGCTGGTCTGTGTTTATGTTTTACATCACTCTTGATGCAAATGTCCTAAAAACATCGGACACAAACATTGACCCATGAAAAGAAACTAGAAAAGAGCTCAGATGAAAGACATCTGTGCTGCTTTTATCTTTGTTGCTTCTAATTTCAGCAAAAGGAGCTCCTTTTTAATTTGGAATAAATTCAAACAAGCTAACAAACGTTCCCTTTCTTGTCGCTGGTGGCTCAGATAAACAGTTTTCTTTTCACATTAGCAGCGGTCGCCTCCCCTGTTATTTCTCTGGGATTCTGTCCTCTTGGAACCACGCTGCCTGTGCCCACACCTTTCATGGTTAGGCTGCGTCAAACAAAAACATGCAGGGGGAACCTCTGAGTTCTGCCAGATCCCATGTCAGGTTGGATTGCTTTTGTTCTCTATTAAGATGATTATCACATATTTACGCTCAGGTTTCAAAATTCCAGACTTTTGCAGACTCAGATGTACATTTCAGGATGATTTGTAACATCAAAATACACACATTTCCTAGGGTTTTCAATGTATCTGCTGTGGTCTCTAGAATAAATGAATGCCTTGCGAGTTTGGCACTCCTGTTTTCACGCTGTGGAAGTTTTTTGGAGGAGTGGGGTGCAGAAAACAAAATTTAGAGTCTTATTCGTTAATATTCATGATATGCAAACATCTTGGCTCTTATTGGCTAGCAGTAACGTTATTCTTCCACTGTCATTGTTCATTCTTCTGTCTAGTAAAAAGTGCAAAACTGATATTTTATCTCCACAAAAAAAATATAAGCCTGAGGAGTTTCGCCATGTTGAGTAGATGCTAATGCTAACGGTCAGCGTTTACTAGCCAAGATGCACTCTGCTCTCTCCTGCACAGTAAATCAGCACAGACTTAGCCAAGAGGGGTGGAGCCTATGAAGGCTCCTCTTTCTGGTGACATGGCTTTTTCTGACTCGATTTTAAATACATTTTCATGTTCAGCATACATATGTAACAAGTCACCGATTGCATTTCAAAAAGAAGTGGAGTGATAAAGTGTCACATGGTTTCCTCGATGAACCAGACCTTTATTTCTTTTTTAGTACAACATGAGATTTATTTTGAAAAACTATGAATAAAACAGAAACAAATACTATCATCTGCACTTTCTTTTGCGTAAAAAGTTAAAAAATACTATCATCTGCACTTTCTTTTGTGTAAAAAGTTAAACACAGTTTACACATCTTGAACCCTTGAGCACTGGAAGGCATTATAGGGTGCCTCTGGCAACCAAAAAAAAATATTTATATATATATATGTATATGTATAATTAAAACATATATAAAAAGTAATTTGTTCTTAGTGCTGTATTTTAAAGATTTGAGAGAAAGTTGCCAACTCTGAGTCAACTGAGGTACACCCTTAGACGCTCATGCTCTGTGATTGACGTCTGTATATAAGCAGTAATGCCATTGGTTTGTGCTGACCGGTGCTCAGTTCATATTGCATTGAGCTCTACGGGACGGGGGCAGGCTTAGCAAAAATAATAATAATAATAAGACATTATATCACAGTACATGGTAAGACAACCAATTTTATGGATTCCTGAAAAACCATACATAATTCCTGAGAGGGGAAAACTACGGATAGCAAATTTAACCCATTTGAATGATGAAATCCAACCAAAGTACATAGTGTCACTTTGGGTGTATGCATGAATGTTTTTATTTTGTGTTTTGAGAGCCAAATGAAAATGTCTACTCCTGTGGACAACAAAGTTTTATACTATTCAATTCAATTCAAGTCAGTTCAATTCTATTCTATTCTATTATGCTAAATAGTTAACATTATACAGAAACAATTTTTATTTGCCAACATAACAAGAAATGTATTTTTTTGGTCACAGATTAATCTGCTTTAGGCAAGATGTCTTGTTAAATCAACTTTTTCATTTAATGGCAACACCAATATAGAACCATTTAGGTCAATGAACCTCAACTGGCAGACCTTTCCCTTAGAGTCCAGCCCTTTGGGTATTTGTCCCAAATATCAATAATTGTTTATATTTTTCTAACACACCTAAAACTACAATCAAAACAGTTTAGATGAAAAACAAAGCCAATTTAAATGTTAAAAAATTAAGATACAATAATACTTGAACTTTATCTTAGAAGAGCATCTGGACTACTGTTTCTGCTGGAAAAACCTCTGGCCCTTTACCAAATTTAGTTGAGGACCCTTGATCTAGGTCATTTTATATTCACTGAGATAATAATAGGAGTTTCATAACAGTAAGAAGCCCCTGCTTGTATTTGTAGAGATAAAACTTTGCTTAAAATCCACCTCAAGATTCTATAAACCTTTATGATTGGTGCTGTAAAGCACAAAAAAATTCCAAAATAAAATATCAACCAACTGAACTTTATGGTTTAATAATTAATCAATAGATCCATCCATCCATTGTCTGAACCCGCTTCGTCCAAGTAGGGTCGCGGGGGGGGGGGGGGGGGGGGGGGGGGGGGGGGCAGTCCATTGCAGGGCATAATCAATAGATATAAACACATAAATAAATAGGAATATATTTAATTGGTGATTTCACTGACCAATTATTTGATCAGTTCAAAATCAGTGGATCAATTGATCAACTGATTCTGACTATTCACTCAACCAAATGGTTAATCACAACCAGTGTTTCAATTGACTGATTAGTCAATCAGCTGACTGTCCAACCAACTGATCAATTAACGTATTACTCACCCAATTCAATTTTCAAAAAAGAAAATAAAATCTGGAAAAAAATAATTTCAGACTTTTTTCTATACTGGAAAACAAGTAAAATTCGTAATTTTCCATAATATGAGAACCATCTCCAGCTCTCATTAACGGAGATTATGTGTCTGAACATCTGTTGTGATAAAATCCTCCGTAATTATCTAAAGCACACATCTTTTGCAAGTGACCATAATAAACAAGCACATCCTGAGTAAGTTACACCTGTCTAAAATGATTGTTAAAGTTTGATGCTTAAGACTGAGACTCAATGGCATTAATCATAAATACTTGTGCTCATATTGTTTGGTTCTGAAAATGTAATGTTTCAACATGGAAAAGGTTACTTTAGCACATTTTATTGCTTTTGCAGATATTAGTTAAAAATATATATATATCAAAGAAAATAAACTTTGAAAGTTTGTTTTTGTGTGCTCTTAGGAGGTGAAATGTTAATTAAATTTCCATAAATTAGAGAAAAAAAATTAAAAAACACCATGCTCAATTATGGAAAATCATAAAACAAAAGTATAAAAAGTAAGCAAATACTGTTGCTGCAAAAGCTGCATCAACAACCTAAAGTGTGATTAGAGAAGAGTCGATACTCACCGGCGTGTCTACATGCTTTAATGGCAGCTGAGGAGTGGGAAGCTGCAGAGAAAAGCGAGGAAAAATCAGCAGGTCAGTCATTGTTTCTCTCACAGTGTTGAAGAAACAACATGGTGGGAAGGAAATAAAAGATGTCTAGAGGAAAACATACACTCCCACTCTGTCTGACTCCACACACTCATCGTATGTCACACACTCAGTCATCCAGTGTTCTTTCTGTCTGAGCGGTTTGAGGTTTGATTTTCCGGAAAGTGACCAGAAATGGAAGAAAACAAAAACACAAACACACGGCGCTGCTATAAAAGCAGAGAACAGCTGCTGCAGAAACCTGGATGTCCAAAAAGGACTCCAACGTATTTGTTTATTTTTGAATAACATCTGTGGTTTGTTTTCCAGTTTCTTGGTCTATAAATATAAAAATGTTACCTAGATTTAGTCAAGTTTCATGAACAGTGCTCACAAGCCTGCTCTTTAGTAAGAGTCAGTGACGTTTTGTTCTCCCATTTACTATAGTTACACTAAAAGCGAAACACCTGGAAAATAAGAAACTGAAACTTTTGAAAAGATTTTAATTGATCAGGTTTCTTTTTTTTTTTTTTGCTTGTGCACAAAAATAATTATATGTCTAGCAGTTTGTGTTTGCAGAAGAAAATAGGTAATTTATGTTTATAATTGAGGGCAACAAATTCGGACACACTTCGGACACTCGTGGGTCTTTTCTTTTTGCATTCGTGCTCTGATTACAACACGCCCCTGGCTTTACATTGATTCATCTTGACCCAGAAGATCACAAGTGAGCAGTCCAACATCAGTTATATGAAAGCGTCCAAGCCTTGGCCTGAGATCATTATGACCAGTGTGCATGATGACCTAATAGGGAGCCCAAGACATGCCCATCTACTTCCGGACCAAGGGTACACGGATGAACGGAAAAATTAATGCAAGTCAATGGGGCTAAAAACGCTAAAGTCATCAACTGCATTATTTTAACGAGGCAGGCCCCCGCACCGTGAGAGTAAACATCACAGCTCTAAAGCTGATCTCCATCCATGTGTGTCACACGCCACATGATCAGGAAGCAGAAAATCCATGAATTAGGATATTGTTTTGGGATACTGCTGTGAAAAAAGCGAGGAGCGAACCAGAAAAGCTTCTGCAGCTCACACTTTGACAACGGATTGTGAAAGAACGGAAATAGCTAGAAACACGCTGATTCTTCTTCATGTAAGAGGTGAGTCTAATCTTTCTTTTGGTAGTTTTGGTGTTTACATGGTCATGGAGCACAATGTTCTGTGACTCTTCAAAAACTGTAAAAATGCTCAAAAATGCTGGCAGTCAGGGGTTCTCTGATCAGAAAACTGCTGGTAGTGAATGAGTTGAAGATGCATTTTGATGCTAAGAATATGTTTATTTTCAAATGGGACAAAAAGTTGTTTTATGCTTTGTGTGAAAATAAGTCCAGAACGACAAATGCGCATCACCAAATGACATCATGGAACCAGACACAGAGAAGAGCAGAGGTAAAAGGGCTGTAAGTTTAGCGAAATTCAAATCCTTCCTTCAGGAGGAAAGGACCACCATAAATCTGGCCATGTGGTAAGTAGCAGCTACGCTAGGGAGAGGAGATTCTGTGGTGACGCCACATAAACTATGTAGCGATGTCTGATTTGTAGTCATGCAAATTACAAACTTTTACAAGCTGATTAATCTCCAAGTACATGACTGGCGTGATCAAAACACACACCATTACTTTGATTGAAATAGAGGTACAGCATATGTGTGATCCAGGGCGTAATAACTCCTTAAGCCTCGTTGACTTGCATTAATTTTTTCACACTTTCGGGGACCCATGAGCCGACCGGAAAAGGAGAAGACTTACCTCTATACATGACTACTATGCTCCACGCAGGACTGTAAACACTGCTACCATGACAACAACCTACCAGAACCTGTTTAACTCAATAACTGTTAATTGTTTACTTAAAATCTTTGAGTAAGTTCTGACAAATATAACCAGTGTCTGTGAAAATGTGCATTCAAGACAGGCGGAAAAAAACTCCAGCAATTTTTTTTGTCAAGCTACCTAAACTGGGTGACAACATGATCTTCAGCAGAAATGTGAAGAAAAAAAATCTCTTGGGAACTGTTAAACAAGCTGCAGCGGGGATTTTAAAAAAGGCCAGAGTCTAAAGTAAATATTTGCCTGTGATGCAGCTCGGAGCGCTTCTTTAAAGATACAGGGCAGTTTCTGTCAGTGGAAAAGACAGGAAAACATGACAATGACAGTCCTACTGGTTTTCTTAAATACTATCATTTTTTGCTAATCTTGCATTTATTTTAAATAGAACAACAGTTTGGAGACGGTTAAAAGGACTTTTTGGCTTTGACAGCAGCTCAAAGTTACACAACAGATCAGAAACCTTACATAACGGTGTTGTCTTATTGTCTATTTGGAAAGAGGAAAATCACAAGGCTGAATTTTGCAGATATAAAATAAAATTTTCATTGTAATGAAAAATCACAGCAATTTACCCCTTATGCTGAACAAGTGTGCTGGCTACCTGTATTTGCACACTTCAGTCAGATTGGCTGACACTGAGTTGAGTTGGATCAAATATTGTAAGTAAGAACTTTTTTGCAGTGTTTGGTTACGAATGCAAAATACACACAGAAGTAGCTTGTTAGGAACAAAAATCTTTTAGTTCTACCATAGAACTTGCTTTTCTGTCCGTTTTGTATTTGCAGGTTATTTGGTTCTGTACTCCACATATTATTATTCTGCTTTAAAATGTTGTATTATATTGCTGCTTGTTGTTGTTGTAACCATTTTATAAATAAGAAAAAGAGTAAAAGGAAAAGGACAAGAAGACAAAAAGAAGAATAGGGGAAAGAAGAAGTAGAAGAAGAATGGTAACTGGCCTGTATTTGACTTCTTAGGGTTCTACAACCCCCCAAGGCACTTCACAACACAATCAGTCATGCACTCATTCATACACACATTCACCCACTGGTGGGGATGAGCTACATTGTAGCCACGTCTGCTCTGAGGCGCACTGACAGAGGTGAGGCCTGCCAAAACCTGGTGCCACGGGTCCCTCCAATCACTACCAGCAGTCAAGGTCGGTTAAGTGTCTTGCCCAAGGACACAACAGTAGCATTCTCTGGTGGGAGCCGGGATCTAACCTGTAATCTCCCGATTACAGGACAACCCGCTCTACCCACTGGGACACTCAGAAGAGACGGAAGAAGACAGATGGAGATGAAAAAGATGACAAAAGAAGACTGAATAAAAAACGACAGAAGAAGACAGGGGAATAATTTAGAAGAAATAAGAAAACGGCAGAAGAAGAAGACAGAGGAAGAGTTCAAAAGAAGAAGACAGAAGAGAAAGGAAGAATTCAGAAGAATAAGAAGAAGCCAGAAGAAGAAGAAGACAGAGAAAAAAATTAGAAGAAGAAGAAGACAGAGGAAGAATTTAGAAGAAGAAGACAGAGGAAGATAGAAAAACGAAGACAACAGAAGAAGATGAAGAAGAAGATGACGGAAGAAGAAGACAACAGAAGAAGTAGACAAAGAAGAAAGTCTTAGCAGGCAAGTTAGGTTAAATGTCTTGCCCAAGAGCACAACATCAGCATTCTCTGGTGGGAGTCAGGATTAAACATGCAACCTTCCTGAGCTACTGTTGTCCAGAAGAAGACAGAAAAAGAAGACAGAAAAAAAGAAAAGGAAGAAGCAGACCACTAATTTGGTTAGCTGATCTATTAGTTGGAAAACGTGACTATTGCATTATGTTGCAATATTAGAAAAAAGACAAGGGGCACTGCAGCCATTTTATTCCTGCAGTTTGAACCAATATTCCAAAGAGAGGTTTTGTACTTCTGTAATTATATTATTGCATCCACATGACCATCTTTATCTTCTCATCGTCTCCATCGTATCGTCTCCACCGATGAAGACAAGTGCAGACAAGAATGTGTGGGAAATGTGAATAGTTCCAGGAAGGATCACTTCATTTATGAAAACAAATCTGAACTAAACACAAATTTGCAAAAAAAAAAAAAGCATAAAAAAGAGAATGTAAAGGTTGTTTACCCACCGGCTCACTGTTGGTGGCTGTCTGACATGATGTGGTGACCTGAAAAAGATGAAACAGAAGCGTGATGAGTGAAAAAAACACACTATTAGTGGGAAAGAGGAACGGAAGAACAGAGGTCAAAGTGGACCATCACTTCCCAGCAACACTTAAGACCAAATCCTTGGGAATGTTTGAGTAGGAAAACACCCATTAAACAGGGAAAACCCTAAAAGATCTAGGAGGGAAACTCAGACATCCCTCCCTCCAGCTTAATCCGGAGGATCTCAAGTCATTCCCTGGCTAAAGAGGACATATAACCCCTCCAGTGAATTCTGGGTCTCCTCCTATGCAATGACATCCAGGCAGCATATCCACGAAATGCCGTTTTACGTGGAGGAGAAGCAGCTCTACTCTGAGGTATCTCTAAGGATGCCTGGGACCTGAACTGAAACAGGACTAGAAGGAACTGACTCACCCTGACTGGAGGTCATGACTTTAACACCTAAACCCAGCATGTCCACCATTCTGAAGAAAAAGCCCTGAAAACTAGAAAAAAAATCAAGAACAATAATAATAACAGAGCATAAATCATATTCTTTCTATCTAATTTGTCTCCAGATTTTTTGCCCTGGTCTACCCAAAACACAGACACCCACCCCCCATGCAATGGCTTTTTGCCCTCCTCATGTAGAGAACTCTAAAGCAAACAGACTAAAACTAGAATCAGCTGCTTGGAAGAGGTTCTTCTGAAACAAACTACAGTAGCTGCAGCATCACCTACCAGGATCTTGTTAAAACACTTGAAGTCAAGTATTTTTACCTGCTTTTTGTAAGCAGATTAGGGATATTAACGTAGTAATGATACTAGAAACCAATGCCGGTATACCACCCCCACCCCCTCAAAAAATAAAAAAGAATTCAATCCTTTTAAGTAACTAACATCACATGTCCGCTATCATGCATTCTCAAACTTTGAACATTAACCAATATGACAACTGAATTCAAGTTAGGCCAGTTTTGCAAACCAAACAATAAAATCCCAGGAACTATCAACTCATCACATTTTTATATTTCGAGTGAGAAGTATTTGAAGAGTTTGGTGTATATTATGTAACGTCCAGCAATGGTAAGTTTTAGGTACTGTTTGACCATTCAGCATCTCGTCAAAAAGGAGACACGAGACTGCATGTGTTCCCTTTAAATTGGCCTGCCTTCATCCTATCAGCTGGAGCTCAGAGCCTCTCTGCAGCTCTGAACACATGATAACGTATTGTCAACAGTAATGTTCTCTCCTCAAGGTCCATCCTTATCGCCCTACAGGATTCTTCATGCCTAACACTCGCAGCTCGGACCAGTTGCTAAATCAAAGAATGATTTCCTAAATTAAATACGAACTTCTAAAACTTATAAGCAAGATAATCCTTAAATTAACGTTTGTTTTTTTGCTACTTATAATAACTATAATATAATGAAATGTTTCATTAATCTGTGCTCAATGATTGAAGTTGGAAATGAATGTTATGTTATGATTACAGTGATTGAAATATGTTTCAGCATGTTGATATGACACATTCTCACACCCAAGGCATCAAAATATGACGCGTTGACCAAGCCTCAATACATGACAAATCGGGACGCCCCAGTGCATCAGGAGACGACGATCAGGGACACACTGGGTCACGTGGCTCCGCTGGCATCACTGTTTGACGCGCGCGGTCACACTGACATTGTGCGACTATTTAACCTTCCCCTCAACCCAATCCTAACCTTAAGGTCCATAAACTGTGACCTTAAGGTAAGGATTGGGGTGAGGGGAAGGTTAAGTAGTTCACAAGTACTTCTAATGTCCATCTCACCACAGGCGTCGGATACCAATGCTCTGGGACGCTACGTCAGCTGTTTGTCCCTGATCGTTGTCTCCTGACTCGCTGGGACATCCCAATTCATCATTTATTGAGGCTTGGTCAAAAGCGTCATATTTTGATGTCTTTGGTGTGAGAATGTGTTGGTTGATATGACAAGGTCATCACCATTTGCACTCACACAAGAACAAAGTAAAGTTAAATTAAACTCAAGACACATAGATAGTCCTTTGTCCCAGATCAGAGCATCCGGTGTCACGGAGGGCGTGTGTTTCTGAGACTCTTGGTAATATTCCTCAAACTTGTCAACCTCTGGTTGGCTACACAAATCATAACATGAGAACATTAAAACTGGATCACTCTGGTGATTCCTCAGTTCTAGAGAAAGCTTCAGACCGGCCACCTGAAGCAAAACCCTCTTTAACCATCAAAGCTCTTGACACGTCGTCAAAACCTTTTTGCACCTGCAAAGCTGATACAGCAACAGCTCCTGCAGAACGAGCTGATCTTGTTCTGACTCCTTAAAGAGTCCCAGACGCGTGGTTCCATCCATCTGTCGTGACCTGAGACATCTCTGGACTGAAGAGTCGGTGCCACGGTATTCTACAGCCCTTTGGCGCCAGAGGTCAACCAACCTCTCTGACCTTCGGATCCACCAAGAGGGTCTCCGAAAACGGGTGAAGTAGACACACAGATAGCATCTGATGTGCTTTTGATAACAATCAACTTCATAGCTTAACGCAAACCAAATTCTTTTACATCCAGAACTCAGCTGTCCTAGATACGGTGTCGGAACAGGATCTGCTCTGGTGCAAGATCGGCTCGGGGTTCTTCGACTGCCAATGACGTCAAAGTACGGCAAACCCACTCGGACAAAATACACTACACATCTTAATACTGTTGGAAAGAATTTAGCAGTTTTGTTATTAAAATAATGTTTCTTAAGACGTAAGTTTGTGTTTATAATGGCATTTGTAAAATAAAACACTATATTGAATTCATAATGTTGAACTCCTCTTTGAGCACATCCCTTGAAGGATCATAGGTATTAGCAACACCTGTGAAATTGTATTTGCAGGAAAGAAGTGTGTCCCGTTTATTGAAGTATTTTGTGTTTAGTTTTTGACGTCTTGTCCATGTGTAGTTCAGTTACGCTCATAGCTGCTATAGCCAAAACTCTGGAGTTAAAAGTTTTCTGGCTTTACTAAAATACCTGTCTGTACTTATTTGATTGATGGTAGTTTTACTTTCTATTAGACTCCCAATGTAATCATTTGACATGTATCTAATTCATAATTTGTAAGAATGTAATCGGTGATATTAGCATTAGCATTCCTATGGGTTTTTCCACGTATATTAGCATTGCGCTAACCACTCGCTGCCAAATTGCAGCCTTTGCGATTAGAAAATCTCCTTTTGTCTCATCGCAATTTAATTGCACGTGCAGTTAATCGTTCAGCCCTAATATACATGCAGCTCTATGCTAAAAGTGTATTTTCAAAGAGGTAATGATGGATTTCTTTGTAATAGTTGTCCATCTTTCCAACAGAAAAATTTGCCTGGACCAACGTAACGTGATAACAATGTAACGTTATTACGTAATTCCGTAAGGTTCATGTTCAGCCAATCAACTACTTTGACGTCACCGGCAGTCGACGGACCCCGAGCCGATCTTGCACCCGAGCAGATCTTGTACCGACAACGGAAGTTCTGATAACATCACATTCACACCTAGGTTTCATACATCACATCTGGTTCCATCCATCACAGTAAATGCTTAGTTAACTTGTCATGTTTTAATTGTTGGTGTCATGTTTTAATTGTTGGTAAAATTCTTACTTTTATAAAACTGACTGTTTTCTGAATCAAAATGAAGTGTCTACAATCCCCTAATAAATTAAGAATCCTAGAATCTTTTGGTTAAACACTGTAAAGACCAAGCAGGGTTGATATTCTATATTTAGATATGGTATCACAGTTTATTGGTCATAAGTAGAGGTAATATATATATATTGAGCTCTTAAAGCACTCAGTTTCCCAAACCCTACAATTATGTGCATAGCATGTAAATCTTATGTAATTCAGAGAGTGAAACAGATACCGATAATTTCCAATATTACATTTTGATGCAAATATTGACCAATAATAGTGGACATCCCTAATCACAATCATTATCTGTGGGCTTTTGATTTACATTTCTTTACTGGTGGAATTTCTACATAAATCCTTCTGATTAAAAAGAAATTATCTGGGTGCAATACAATAAAAAAATTAATCTAAATAATCAGAGGTTGTAATAAATTAATCTTGATTAATCACAGTTTAATCGTTGAAGACATTTTGCCCATCAGCAATGTTTTTTATTGAAAATGTTAGTGAGTCACAGATGACACACTCACACTTTAATGGGTATATTTCTGTAACCTCAAAGTCTATTTGATTACTTTAGTTTAATTATAAAGATAACAACTTTGGGATTTATTGGGCTGTGTAAATATCAGTTTATGTGTTACTGATGAAGTGTAAATACACATGGAACATTGTAAATATTGTTTACTGATCTGAACACCAGGTGGCAGCAGAGCACTGCTAGTATATATAGAGGTGTAGTGTAGAGTTCAGGGGAAGTTCTGCTGAGAGTTACAAGATGAATGCTGCCTGTGCTTCTCCCTCCTGCTGTAATAAAATTCATATTGATAAAGGTAATGCCTGACTGCTTTCTACCAACTACAAAATATGACTTTTATTTCTTTCTTTTATCCATGAACAGTAATTTGTCATTATTCATCAAATTGTAGTGTTAGTTGTGTTTGGAGAACGCAGAAAAAGGTTTGTAGGTCTATGTAGCCCAGCCGCTGCAGCTTTATGATATTTATTAAAATTTAGGGTATACATTTTGATGCTAAACCCTTTTGCACAATTTTTTTTTTCCTAATTAGGATGTTCAATTCCCACCCCTTGCGCGCGCACACACACACACACACACACACACACACACACACACACACACACACACACACACACACACACACACACACACACACACACACAGGTATTGCATAGAGATGTTCCATTTTTGCTTCCACTAGTGATACTTATAAAAAGTTTCATGTGTAAAGTAACTAAGTTCATTACTGTTACTGTTTAAATATTTCTTTTTTAAAAGCACATGAACTGAGGTGAAAATTAAGAGCTTGG